GGGTAGCTCCACAGCCTCCTGCAAACCTGGGAGCCGCGTTTCCCTCAAGGAGAGCCCCCTCTCCCCCAGCCCTAGGGTGGCCCCACAGCCTCCTGCAAGGCCGGGAGCAGCGTTTCCCTCAGGGAGAGCCCCCTCTCCCCCAGCCCCACTCTACTCCCCAGCCCTCCAAGCCTGCGGGCAGGCTCTTCAGCAGCCCTCCTCTGCTTCGGGAGGCGAGGGCACGCCTTGTGTTTGCTTCTGTTTTCTTCTTTGATATGGAACGGTTGATATAGGTCCGATACCCCAGTTGCGGTACTGGTTAGGGTTTGGTAAGTAACATCAAATCTTGTTTAACTTTTCCTTTTTACATTTTGTTTAGGAGGCTCGTTGTCGTCACGCCCTCAAGTTTTGCTCTATTTGGAAACAAGACCGCCTTTAACTGGCTGTAAGGTCAGCGGCGGGCATGGACCAGTACCCTTTTGGCGACGAGAACGCAGTTCATTTGGAGATGCATCTCCTCGGATTTTCCGAAAGCCAGGGGTTGGTCTGTAGCGAGGCGCTCACCCACGATTTGTACCTAAACACGAAAGACGTGATGTACGCGGGGCTGAGCGGCTTGGACGTGGTGCCTGGCCTTCCAGCTGCGGATGCGGGCAGCGACGCGCTGGAGGCCGATTTAAACGCGCTCTCTCTGTACCCGGCGAAGGACTGCGACTCTGTTCAGCTCCTTGATGAGTCTGACTCGCGGCCCTCGCAGCACGGTGAGTGCGCCGGACTCTGCCTTCTCCGTTATTTTGAAGGGTGTCTTACGGATCGAAGCAGCCGGAGTTATTTAGTAGCTTTATATTGGTGGTGGAGTCCCTTACGTGGGAATATTTTTGGGTAAAGAGGTGGATATGCGGGTTTTTTTTAAATCAGTAAGCACTTCGAAAATTTCTTGTTGCCTTTTACCTGTAAAATGACATTCAAATTGATAAGGCTGTAGAAGATGATAATAGTTGTAACACCTCTCTTTGACAGGAGTTTCACTTTTTTTGCTATTTTCTTAAAATTATACCCTAGACAGGAATATGCTTTTTGTGTTTTTTTTTCCCAAGAGTCCTTGCAACCTCCTCTCCAGCTGGAAACGGAAAACGCAAAAGCGTTAAAATGATAGATTTGCTAAATAAGTTGCAAACGTCTATATTACTGGCTTTCCCTGAAGCGGAGAAGAGACATTCTGTTTAATTCTTTCTGCGTTTCAAATTCTCTGTGAAATGGATTAAGCAGAATAGGCTTTTTCTAGCTCTGCTGCTGCAAGGAGAGCGCCTTTAGTAAAACGCCCTTCTGGAAGGAATGGATAACTTAATTGCTAATGCGTATAAAAGCGCGCCCTGTTTGGGTGGCTTGAAAACAAAACAAATGAAAATCCGTAACGAGCAGCGCTCGAGTAAGAAAATGAGACTTTCTGCTAACAATTGGGGCCTGCCTGTCTACTGCTTCGCCAATTAATAACTGCTCGTAATGGCTCATTCCTTACTCGTGGGTGGGGAACCTTGAATTGTCTCCCAAAGCCCAATCCAGCGGGAAGTGGCTGGGTTATCACCTCGTCACGTTGCTGGAGGTAAAATACCGTGAACGCAGCGGTTTGGGGTTGCCTCATTCCCTCCCTCTTTTCTCAGGAAAGAGGGGAAAATGGTAAAATCCGTTAACGACGAGGTCCAAAATGGCGAAGGCTGTAACTCGTGTGAGGGTGGGACGTGGGTTTGGGGAGACCCCAGAAATAAAGCGGCTCCAGAGCTGCAAGTCGTAAGAGGTTTGTGGGACTTTTGTACTCGTTTTTGTGCAGATACTCAGTCGTCACAGCCCACGGGCCGGAGCCCTCCGACAGAAACGTTACAAAAAGAGGCGTTTTTATTAGTGCTAAAGCGAGAAGCGTGTCATCGCAAGAGTAACCTGAGGATATCGCTTTCTCCCTCCCTTCAGAGCCGGCGCTTCCCACGCCGACGGGACCGGAGGAGGCTGGAGGAGGAGGAGGAGGAGGCGGATCTGCGGGGAGAGGAAGGCTTCCCCTCGGCTCTCCTCGGACCTCGCTGCCGGGCTGCAGCCGCTGCGGGAAGGTGTTCGGCAGCGCCAGCGCTCTCAGCAAACACTGCCTGACTCACAGCCAGAAGCGGGAGCACGTCTGTGCCATCTGCAGCAAGGCCTTTAAACGGCCGGACCACCTGTACGTACGCCGCTAAAAACGCGGAGAGTTGCCGCGGCCCCGTTTACCCTTAAGATTGGCTTCTGCAGTACTTTATTTCCCAATTTCGGAAGCGGGAGCCTTTGTCGTGTTTCCAGGCTAGCAAACGCCGTGAAGTTAGGTTACAAAACTTCCCTAGCCGATGCAAAATAGCTTTTGAGTTTTCCAGAGCGGGCTGGTGCAGGAAAAGCCTCAAAAGTACGTATTTCTGTCCAGCTGCAGAAAAATCCGTAACACTGAGCCCTACACCAGCAGCGAGTCTTTCTTTTTTCCCCTCTCGGACGACTGGCGTGGGGGAGGTGGTGTGGAAGGTGTTGGTGCCGGAGAGTCAACTTCTGGGTTTTGGCGGCCGCTGCTTTAGGAGCTGTTGCAAAAGTTTGCTTATCGATGCAACCGCGGGCTGGAATCCTACGCTTCCCGGGGCTGTAAAGCTTTTATTACTAATTCTGAAAAGCTCTGGAAACACCAGCGGATTATCGTAGGTCCGGTTTTTGGTGGTGGTAGTCCGGGGCTAAGTAAAACACCATTTTTGTGTCAGACCGCAGCGGTTGCCAGCAAACCTTTTCTGTCCTAAAATGTGCCTTTGTGAAGTGACGGTCTGCAGTTTTACACTCAGTTTCCCGTCGGTTTAGGTAACGTGCCTGCCTAATTTTTTCTGTCTCTCTACCAATTTCCGCTCTACCTTTTTTTCTACCCTAAAACAAAAGAGAACCCTCAGCAGCCTTTAGCTTGCGCTGCCTGGCATCGCTGCCCGCGCTCGCAGGTAGAACTTGGGTTGAGATCTCTTTTGAGCTGTGTTCCCCCTTCCTTCATCCTTGCCGAGCGTGGCCGGGGCTGAGAGGCTGGAGAGATCCTCCTGGATTTGGGGAGAATTTCCGATCCCGTTTGAGTGGTGTTTCTGGAGAGACGATGGCGATAGAGCAAGCGGGACGGTTCTGCAGCCCAGCGGGAAAAGCAGTTGGAGGGGACTTTAGTGAACCCCTTCCAAAGAGAGGCCAAATTCTGCTTTGATTTAGGTCCTGTGCACCTTCTGTGCCTTGAGTAGAACCGTACTAAATAAAAGGAGCGCAAGAGCTGCAGTAGCTTAGGTGCAAAATGACTTCCTTTCTCAGCTGGAAAGGCTAATACGCAATGTTTTCTTCTCTTGATCACTGCAGGAGCGGGCACATGTTGACGCATCAGAAAATAAAACCTTTCGTGTGCCCGGAACGAGACTGCGACAAGAGTTACTGCGATCACCGTTCCCTGCGCCGGCATTACGAACTGCAGCACCGCTTGTGCGGCTTGAAGGAGGCTCCTAAGGAAGGTGCCAGGGAGGAATCCCCGCTTCTTCCCGGTCCGTATATCCAAGGCAGCGGGAAATCGGTGGACAGACTGGCTGCGTGCTCCGAGTCGGGCTCTTTCTCGCCCAAAAGAGACCTGCCGAGGTGCGTCGCGAACAGCTTTGCACACCAGAAGCTTCCCTTGGCTGCCTTGCCCTCCGCAGAGCACGCCGGCGCTGCCTTGACGGATTCCTCCCCAGCAAGCCGGGCCTCTTGCCTCGCATCTAACCGCAGCGGGCTTTCGGAGGCTGCAGGAGACGATATATCGAAGGATCGCCTCTCTTGCCGAACGAAGCGGCACGCTGTGATGAATCCCGGCAGCGTGTCTGCGATTGCGCCGGGTGAGAGCGTAGTTACCAATCTGGCCGGTAGGTCTTTTATTTCAGAAGCCCAGCTCCCC